GCCTCCCCTTAGTGTGACCCATGTCCCATAATATTACTGCATTTGTTTTAGGTCTAGAATCCACATATGGGGAAGAGCATGTGGCTTTTGGTCTTTTGAGCCTGGCTAACTTCACTAAAGATGATGTTCTCCAGTTCCATCCATTTACCTGCAAATGACAAAATTTCATTCTTCTTCATGGCTGAGGAAAATTCCATTGTGTATAAATACCACATTTTTTTAATCCATTCGTCAGTAGTGGGGCATCTTGGCTGTTTCCATAACTTGGCTATTGTGAATAGTGCTGCAGTAAACATGGGTGTGCAGGTGCCTCTGGAGTAACCTGAGTCACATTCCTTTGGGTATATCCCCAGGAGTGGGATTGCTGGATCATATGTCAGATCTATGTTTAGTTTTTTAAGAAGTCTCCATATTATTTTCCAAAGTGGTTGCACTAGCTTGCATTCCCACCAGCAGTGTGTGGGGGTCCTTTTTCCCACATCCTCACCAACATTTATTGTTGGTTGTGTCCTTGATGGTAGCTATTCTAACAGGAGTGAGGTAGGATCTTAGTGTGGTTTTGATTTACATTTCCTTTATGGCCAGAGATGGTGAGCAGTTTTTCATGTGTTTTTTTAGCCATTTGGACATCTTCCTTTGAAAAAGTTCTGTTTAGTTCAGTTGCCCATTTCCTTATTTGGGTCATTGATTTTGGGGGAGCCTAGTTTTTTGAGCTCCCTGTATATTCTGGCTATCAGTCCCTTATCTGATGTATAGCCAGCAAATATTTACTCCCATTCTGTGGGTGGCCTGGACAACTGAATTTTTTTTAGTACATTTAATATGTTTTGTGTCAAAAAAAAAAATCTCTGGCCAGGGTAGGGAACACCAAATACCCTGTAAGTTCTATACCTAATTTTGCCTGTACGATTGGGAAGGTGTATTAAATAGATTTTAAGGTGTCTTTGATTTGCAAAGTCACATGGCTCAGCAGGTGTGTGAAAGTGGAATTTGGCTGTCTATAACCCCAAATTCAAATCACAAGGGCCGTCCTGCCACCTTGTGCGTGATGTGGTTTGGTGAATGAACAGCTTCAGAAGTGGCAGACCACTTCATCGGGAGGTTTCACCTCACAGACGGCTGATTAGTTAATGACTGTCCTTAAAGATCACAGCAGAGTCTCCTTTGGCAAAAAGTGTCCTCCCCTGGTTATCGTTGAGAATGTGGATTTGTGTTCCTTCAAAGTCTCCTGAAAGGTCTTGCCTAAGCTTATCTGAGCCAAGAGCAAGGCTTGAGGGCTCCTTATGTCCTCTGATAGAGAAGGCAAACCTCTTTGCCTATAGGAACCAGTCCACGGCCATCACAATTTCCACCAGGCACTGTGGATGCCATCTTGGTAGGCAGAAGACACTGGGAAGTTGTGAGGTTGAGTTGACCTGGGACCTTTGGAGCAAGAAGAGGTTCTGTTGGGGACAATTCCCTACTTGTCCCAGATGTGAAGTTTTTGCTATGTCTAGTGTGGAGGGCCAGCAGAGGGACTGCACACAGTGGCTGCACACCCTAGGCTGCTGGGAAAGGACTCTGTTCTAATCTTTTATGTTAGTAGATTTGCATATGCAGATGAGATGCAACTGTAGCTTGTTAATCCGTTGTTCTGGTGCAGATGTGAACATTTGCTTTCTATCTACAGTTCTAAAGAAGTCGTCTATATCCTGAGTGCAAGTAAAGCAGTCATTTCTCAAATTAGGTAATGAAGCTACTCCTTAAACACACACACAATAACGCAAAACAAATGCCACCATTTCAACCCGTCCAAACCACTCTATTTCCCTAGGTGCCATTTATCACTTTGAGCATGGGAGGGAAAATACCTTTTTCCTGCCAGGTTTCTGGATTGGACAATTTGGTCTCTGGAGGGCAAGCCACCCCAAGTCCCCTGGACCTTCACTGGTAAGGATCCATGGCAGGAAGGTAATTAGAATGAAGGCTAAGTCATTGAATAAACATGGCATCTGGGCACTGTTTTGTATGCCTTAGGTCTCTTTTTACTTATTCTTCACAGTCTTTCCAGGGTTAGGTTCTGAGATTTTACCATGAGAGAACTCCCCAAGATCACATGGTTGGGAATCTAGAATTTTAGTCCAGCTGGCAGACTCCAGAGCTTGTGTTCTTAACCTTGGTTTCACAGTTTCACCGCTATCTTCACATACCCCCGATACTTTCTACCATTTCTTTCTCAGGGAAGACTCCTGTATTCACAATGAGGATAAATAGTGACACAGACAGATGTGGAGATGTTCCAAATGAGGTAGGAAGGGAGTAGGTTGGGTTTGGAGACTTGGTCCTTCCTTCCACTTAGTTTTGGAGGTACTGGGATTTGAACTCAGGGCCTCACATTGGGTAGGCAGGCACTCTACCAGTTGAGCCCCCACCCTGCCCCCAACCCGTCCTTTCCAGGTAAAGTCTTATGCTAACTTTGCCCCGGCTGTGCTTGGACCTGATGCTCCTGTCCCTGCCTCTGGAATAGCTGCTCAGCATGCACCACCATGCCTCCTGACTCCTCCCCCCACTTTCCGTAACTATTGAGTTCCAGGGGCTGGGGCTCATTTCCTTTCCGGATCATCCATCCATTGGTCTCAGCTTCTTTTCTCTCTAGAAGGTTCATATTATTCAATGCAGTCAATCCTTACTTTCACAGATTCCGCATTTGCTAATTCACCTACTTGGGACGGTTTATCCGTGATTCCACATCAGTTCTCATGGTGCTTTTGAGGTCATTTGAGGACACCATGGAGCAGTGAAAACTGAATACTTGGCACGCACATTCCCAGCTGAGGAACAAGGCATGGCTATGCTGTTTCATACTGTAAACTAGCATTTTCTCCGTGGCCTGTTGGTGCCATATTTTCCCATTTTTGTGCCCAAAGCACTAGGCGCTGGTGGTTCACACCTGTAATCTTAGTTATTTGGGAGGCAAAAATCAGGAGGATAGTGGTTCGAAGCCAGTCCAGGCAAATAGTTTGTAAGACCCTAACTCAAAAACATCCAACACTAAACAGAGCTGGCCTGTTACCGTCACCTATGGAGTCTCTACATTTTAAATCATTTACAGTCTCACTTTCCTTATCACAAGCACTCTGAGTAAGTGAAGGGCACTTTCTTGTTTTCTACTTTGTTGATTGGGAAACTGAGGCATGACATACTCTAGTGATTTGCCCAAGGTTATGTTCTTTTAATTTGTTCCATCTTTGGGGCAAGCCATTTCTATCACACAGAAAAATCTAGTAATTGTTTTTCTTGTGTTTCAGCTTTCAAGCCATTTTCAGGAACAGTTTATGTGGACAGAAAGATTTTCTCCTTATTTTATTCTTTTACCATATGACTATTTCAACATTTTTATTTAACTATGATTTCTCTATGTTTCATTGCTCATGTCAAAGTACTTGATTAAAATACAGAAAGACTACTGTTTCTTTCATGGGGGTCAAAATGTTTTCTGTGCATTGGAATGAGTCATGGAAAAAGAAGCTTTGTAGTCCTCCTCTTCTGGAAATTTTTTCTAGGGTTATTAATTACTGAAGTCAACAGCCAGGTTTGGTGGTACATGCCTATGATCCCAGCTACTTGGGAGGCCCAGCCAGGAGGAACTTGGTTTGAGCCTGGCTTAGGCAGAAGTTATGAGAACCCCATCTTAAAAACAAGCTGGGTGTAGTGGTACATGACTGTAATCCCAGCTATACAGGAGGCATAGGTAGGAAGATGGAGGCCCAAGGCCAACTTGGGCAGAAAGCATGAGACCCTATCTAAAAAATAACCATAACAAAAGGACTGGGGGTATAGTTCAACTGGTAGAGTGCCTGCCTAGTAAGTGTGAAGCCCTGAGTTCAGTCCCCAGTGTGGCAAAAAAGAACAGAGGGAAAATGAAGAACAGAGAGGAATCTAAAGACTAGCCTTCATGTAAAATTGAAAGTGTACTATTAAAGTTCACCATTTCCACCTGGTGCTAAACACCCAGCCTGGCAGGAAAGTTCCTCCCAGGTAAAAATGTGATCACCATGACAGAATTTTGATAGAGCTGTGATTGGTGTTGGCAGGTTCAATTGGTGATATTTTATGATAAGTTTAATGACACTTATTAAACAGATTCAATGGGAGCCAACCCAGGACAGGACTAGAAGATACAAAAGGAAGCTGAATGTTTTCCAGGCTGGCTAGAGACTGAAGTTCAACTGATGTAAGATGTCACTACCTTTTGTAGTCTAGGTGCCCCCAACACCGTCACTTCTCCTTTGCCTCCCACAAAAGGCTCATTCTCCTGAGGCAAGCTGTCGGGATCAGGGAGAGATTCAGTGATTTCCTTGGAGAGCAGAGGGCTGCCTGGTCTTTGGTCTCCTAGTGAGAGCTCCTGAGTCACAGTTGAATGCTGGGACACAGAAGTGGGGTGCACACCTGTGCTCACCTCAATGGCATGGGAATTCAGAATGAGGTCAAGGTCAAGTTTCTTGCCAGTTAGGGTTAGTGTGATGGTGGAGGGTGGGTGTGCTTTGCAGAGAGGACAGAGTGGGCATTTTAGGGCTTCTTGCCCAAGTGGAAGAAGTTGTGGAAATATTTTCAAGTAGGAACTGGCTTCTTCATAGAGAAACTAAGTTGGTGAGTTAGCAGGAGTTTTCTTTCTTGGGCTAAAAGTAGTTGTTCTATTCTGTCCTGAAGCGCCTGGCTGTCTTGGTGGAGACAGCGAGCAGAGCCACAGGCCTGGAATATCCCAGGAGGGTAAGAATAGCCACAATAAGAGATGACTCCTGCTGTCTGGCCACTGCAGTTTTCAGGAATGTTTTGCCTCAGAGGCAAGTAGCTTCAGGCCGTCTCCACTCAGAGACAGAAACTCTCGCCTCCTGGTCCTGGGCACAGATCTCTCCTGTCATAGCTGGAAGTCTGTCGCAGTCAAAACACATCTATTGCTCCAAGGATCCTCCACTTCTTTGGAGAACCCAGGCAGTCCGGGTCTGTGGCATTCCAGAAGCATGGAGAACGTGGATTTGATGGGATTCCTCGTCATTACTTTAAACTGCAATGTGACCATCGTGGGTGAGTGCCTGGAAAGCCCCAACTCCTGTTCTGCTATTTTTGTTGCCCTGTTTGAATTAGGTTTTTCTTAAAGGGCTAGGGTGTGTCCTAATGTTCAATCTGGCCCATCCCAAAAATAAAGGCCAGCGTGTCGCTGGAGAAGAGGGTGCTGTGAGTTCCATGCCACTGAAGAAGTCCTGGGTATGAGTGTTCTCTCACAGGGTGTCTTCTTGTGACATTTGAATACTGGATCTGAAGACTGAAGTACTGGGGTGGTTTTGTGTATCCCTTCTCTGGCCACATTACCAGGTAAAAGTTAGTGAGAAAGGCAAAATCCAGATGTCTCGTTCTCATTCAACCTTTTCGTGTTTAATCTTTGAGGCTTCTTTGATAAAGATGAATGATTTCCTTGTGCACGTTTTAAAAGTTGAGTTATTTTAATTTTATTTCTGCAGTGCTGGGGATGGAACCCAGGGTCCCATGCATGCTAGGCAGTGCTGTGCACACTACGCTGTACCGCCTGCCACTGAACGACACCCCAACCCCCTATTTTTTTAACAAAAGAAATAATAAAGATTTCTGAGTTTGACGCTTATGAATCAAATTTTCAGAGGGGCATGTGTGTCATACCAGAAGGGATTAAGGAGAGGATTAATATATGCCTGAGATGAGGTTGATTCTCAACTCATTATTTTGTAGAATTGAACTAAAGCAACCTGGGGTTAACAGGTGGAATTAATGATGTCACTCTTTAAGCTTAACTGCCTTCATTTATGATGGAGTTTCTTCTTTGATGTCAGGCAGTATTTTTCACCATCTCATCAAAAACACAATATTTACATGGTAGCATGGTTGTTTTAAACACGTTCCAAAATAGCAGACCCATGACAAACAAGGCTTGGAGGTTATTTTTATTTTCTGGGTTTGTCGCAGTCATTCATGCTAAATTGAAGAGACAAGCCCTACTAGCTCATAGCAACTGAGATGGGGGAAAGGAATTCTCAATTATTGAAAAAAAATTGAGCATTCTTGAAGACATTCAATTTCACGACCACAGAGCAATATTAAACACAAGCCCTGTAACTGAACTGAGATTTGTGGGCCATTGTCATAAATGAGGCAGACAGGGAAATTAGCAGCTTGTATTTGCTCTACACAGATCCAGGAATATGCTAAAATCCTTTAAAATGCTTATTTTCCTAAGCAGAGTGAGAGTTTATGTGCATTGATATGCTCAGCCAATTTTTCTTTCTGGATTTTTAGTTCAGAAGATGTAGCCAGAAGTCTGAACTAGTAGAGTCTGATTAAAAATTTTTAAGTATAGAATGCTCTTTAAAAATCTCTTTATCTGGGGCCTAGGTGGGTTTCCTATCCTGTAACTGTAATCCCAGCTAAAGAGGGAGACTTAGGTAGGAGGATGATGGTCCAATGCCTGCCCTAGCAGAGACCCTATCTGAAAAGTAACTAAAGCAAAAAAGAGCTGAGGGCATGGCTCAAGTGGTAGAGCACTAAGGGCAAGACCCTCAGTACTGCCAAAAAGAATTTAGCAAGTGAAGGAAACAGCTGATTCTGTTGCTATGAATAACTCCATGAGGGACTGACTTCTCAGTTCTCCAGTCTCAGGGCCCCAGGAAATAATCAAATAACTGTTGCTTGGGGACAACGCGTGTACACGGAGGTGATGGGGTCATTCCTGCTTGCTCTTTCCCAGGCAAGATCTGGCTCATCTTCACCGTCCTGCTGAGGACGCTGGTGGTCGTCTTGGCAGGGTACCCCATCTACCAGGACGAGCAGGAACGGTTCGTTTGCAATACTCTGCAGCCAGGATGCACTAACGTTTGCTATGACATCTTCTCGCCTGTGTCACACCTGCGCTTCTGGCTGATCCAGAGCGTGTCTGTTCTCCTCCCTTATGCCGTTTTCAGCGTCTATGTCCTCCACAGAGCAGCCCAGCTCGCCCTCCTTGAAGCCTGCGGCTCACACCCAGGCGCCAGAGGCCACCACCCCTCGGAAGGGTCCAGTGGGCCCCGCAGCGCGGGACGCACCCTGAGCGTGCCGGACTTCTCCTTGGCCTACATCGTGCACCTCTTCCTTCGGTCGCTGATGGAGGCAGGGTTCGGGGCCCTGCATTACCTCCTGTTCGGCTTCTCGGTCCCCAAGAGATTCTCTTGCACGCGCTCCCCTTGCTCCAGCGTGGTGGACTGCTACGTGTCGCGGCCCACAGAGAAGTTCATCATGATGCTTTTCATCGGGGCAGCGAGCGCGCTGTCCTTCCTCCTGGGCGCGGCCGACCTGATCGCCAGCGTGCGGAGAAGGACGCGCAGGCGGCCAGGCCCCGCGCAGGGGGCGCCGAGCAGCTCCATCCCGAGCGAGCACGCCACCCGGATGTCTCTTCCCGGCCACGCCGAGGGACCCGGGACCTCTCAGAGCCTGGGGACAAGGCCGGGCCAGAGGGCCGAGGACGGCGGGTGGGAGGGGGTCAGGGTGGCCACTGTCCCTGGTGAGTGGAGTGGAGGACAGGGGACCAACAGCCCCAGTGGTAAGTCCGGTGTGTCAGGGCAGGTGGAGTTTCCAGATGAAGAGGAGAGTGAGGTGATGTCCTCAGCCAGTGACAAGTTGGCCATGGGACCCCGGGGCGGGGTCCATAAGCAGCCACCCAGGACCCAAGGAGCCACGGGCGGGCTAGGTCAGGAGAGCAGCTCTCAGCCTTTCCGGGCCACCTGGCTGGACACTACTCATCCAGTCAGCTGCAGTCCCCTGGCCGGCTGGCCATCTCGGGCAGCGCCCCCCACCTGAGAACCAAGAAGTCAGAGTGGGTGTGAGAGCGCCATTGCCGTGCAAGTGGTTATGCCCACCAAGATGCACACTCGCCTGGGCAGGAGCAAAATATGTCACCTAAGCAAGTCCTTGACTCATAAGCAAGTCCTAAGCACATTAACAGGCTGACAGGGGAGCCCGCACAAGGACAGATGAACTTCCTGGCAGACTGACACCAGTTTAATTTTCCTGACACTTTCTGTGGAAAGCAGTACATTGACATTCAAACGTCCACACCATGCTAAGATCCTTAATTAGAAGCATCAGATTGCTGATTATGATGGGATGGTCTTATTTATATGCTCACTGGTTCTGGTATCTTATGGGATGTGCTTACTGTAAAGCATGTTCTCTTACACGAATAGGACTTGTTAATGTTTGGATGTTTGCTGGTGAATCATTATGGGATGTGTTTTTCTTCTTGGATGAAAGAGACGTTGTCATGCGTGTCACCAATAGAGGCACAGCAGTTTAACTTCTTTAATAAAATGAATGCTGATTGCATTGCACTAGTGTACTTCCTACTTCACTGTGTTAAGTACAAAAAATGTGGCTCAGAAACAGTCACTCAAATGGGGCGATGGTGGCATATTCTACTGTTATTGCATGGGGGTGTAAGGTATATGGGATGTGGCTGAGCCCAGGGCTTGCTCAGGTGTCCCTTGTGTGTTTGCTGAGGGGCTGTCCTTACCCTTTAGGGTGAGTAATTTTCTGTTGATGAGTGACCATAGATTCGACACAAATTTTCAGCTCAGGTTTTCTGTGTCCTTTAGAGAGCATAAAATTATAATGTCTTGAGAGCCTTCATGTTTCAGTGTCGTAGATGAAAAAAACTGCATCTTGTGGCAGGCAGAGTCTCTCTCTTTTTTCGCTCTCTCTTCCCTATCTCCCTTCCCTCTCCCTCACTCTGTGCTTTATGTGTGTATAGTAGATACAGACAGCTACCCTGGGTCCTGGGGTAGCCTTCGTAGAAGTGTCTGCATTTCTTGGTGTCACTCTGGTTTTAATGGAGGTGTTGAACCAGTACGGTATGGCTGTGTTAGAGCTTCAGTGTCCCCTTATATTGGCAGATGGAGGACACACCTGCTATGGGACAGGATATCACCATGATCAAGAGAAGAGAAACAGCCATCTGGTGTAGTTTTAGGACTGAGCAATGTCCTTTGGTCCCCAAACATGGAAAAGTAATCTCTCTTCACATTTACAAACAATAAAAATGATCCAATGTACTGTGGCAACAATGGACACTTCACTGTTCTAAAGAAGACCTTGGCAATGAAATGTCTGTGAGGATGGAGGATAACAACCTATGAGATATGTCTACAAGATGCCAAAGCAACTGGTTAAAACTTAAAAAAAACTCTCCCCAGTCAGTTTTGGCACAAAGCAATCTGAATGAATGTATTTTTACGTATTATCTCTCTCCCTCCCTTCCTTCTGCCTGACTTCGATGACTTAAGCCATTTAAAGTTCTGATCTATGCCCCACACCTCTTTCTTTAGCATTTAGACGCATGTCTGGCACAGTGGCTACTCAAAAAATGTGACTTTTGAGTTTGATATTCCTGAAGATCTTAGGGAAAAATCTTGCTGGTGTCTCTTGCAGTGTGTAATTCTGGTGGACTTTCGAAGGTTGGGTACAGTCTTACAGGTAGAGGAATTCTTTAGGGCTGCAATACCATTTTAAAAAACAACCCCACAGGACCTTCAAACACCTTGATATGAGCCTTGATAATGTCAAGTGATGAAAGGAAATCAAATCAACACATACTGGTGCCATGTGCCTAGCAGGGGGCTGGGGTAATGGCTGGGAAGGGAAGGTGGCTAGGCAGAGCTCAGGTTCCCTCAAGGCCATAGCCCTAGGAGGACTGGGAGAACATGACTGTGTTCCTTCTATCACTGGAGTCTGTGTTCAAGTTTGTAATTACGAACAAGTGTGATTTTATGTTGGCGGCACTGGGAGGGGCTGCTTCGGCCTCTCTACCGATGTCCAAAATCCTACCATGAGTTTTGTTCCGTAAAAAAAGCTGTATATGAGTGCCAAGAGAAAGGGGAGAGGTACTGGGCCAAGGTGGGGAAATCTAGGCTCTTATCCCATTGGTTACTTGGCAGGTCACTTTACTCCTCTGGGCCTCAATTTCCTCCTTTGAGCAACGAGGGATCTGGACTAGATGATTCCTTAATGCTCTGCAAGATCAAGACTCTGTCGATGAAATGTGTGGCTGTCAGTTGTTTTAGCATTAATAAGGATTGATTTCATAGCCTTCCCATTTTGCTGATTACCCAAGCAAGGTTTTCATAAGATGAAATGGTAAAAATAGGAGAGGCCTGTATCACACCTCATTTTCTGTTGCTAAACAAAATACCCGAGGCTGCATAAATTATAAAGAAATGTGTTTCTTATGGTTCTGGAGGCTGGGAAGTCTAAGGTTGAGTGGACATATCCAGCAAGGGCTCCCTTGCTGTATCATACCACGGCAGAGGATATCACATGGGAAGAGGGTGAGCTAGCTCAGGTCTCTCTTCCTCTTCTTACAAAGCCACTAATGCCATTGTGGGATCCTCACCCTTGGGTGACATCACCAAGTCTTAAGTACCTCTCAAAGGCACCATTAACATAACATTAACCACAAATTTGGGAAGTAAGTTTTCAGCACATAAACTTTGGGGGAACATATTCCAACCACAACAACCTGCATGTCCTTTGAAGAGCTACAATAAAAGAGAGATGACACATCATGGAAAAAGGGGTACATGATCTGAGGATGACTCCTTGTCTTCACTCCCTCCTGCATAATGGCTTAGGGGTGGGTGGACAGACATGGCAGACTTTTGAGTGGTGCCATTCTGTGAGGAGCAAGACTGCAGCAGAGGTGCTGAGCATTCTGGAATTTGATTGGCCATGTTAGTGTGACTTTGAATGCCACTTCTGCTGTCACCCAAGACACTGCAAATCTCCCTGGTTTTGTAACATATGTTGGTTTTTCAGGCCTTAAAGATCTTTTCTAATCATATAAGGGGGAGAAAGAAAAAAATCTTGGATTAGATTCAAAGAATTTTAATAGTAGAAAATTATGTGGCTACCATTTTCCTTTTCAAGATTTCAACCTGTTTCTCTGCATCTTTGTCACGTTGGATGAATGCAAGATGGTTTACTGATTTGCATTCCTCCCACAGTCAGTGTGCATGGTAAGGCCATTGTAGCTGCTATAACAGGAAAACCCCAACTTAAGCAATTTAGCACAGACATTTTGTAAAGTACAAAGTGGGTGTTTGTGACTGACTGGCAGATCTGCTCTAGGTGGTGACTCAGGGTTCCATCCATGTGGCAGCTCCAACATCTTCTGTCCACAATGCCGTGATTGCTGTGGAAGGGACCAGAGAGACCTGTAGCCCTGGCCTGGAGAGGGCACCCACGTGTCTGATCATGTTCTCTGACCAGAGCTTGAAAGAGACATTATGAGGATCCGTGGGATTGTGCTTGTAAAGCAGTTTGTGCTTAGCCAGCAAAGGTATTGTTCACAGATTTAATTGATCTCTCTCTTAGATATTGCAGTCTGCTGCGAGAACCCACTTTGATTTTTCTGGGTGTAAACTTAGTTTCAGGTGAGAAAGGATGAGGAGGATGATGCTCCAAAGAGTAGAGTGCTCGTGTATCTGTCTCAGAGCAGACTGCCCAGGATCTGCTAGTAACCCCTCCCCCCAATTCCTTCATTCCAACTCCAGAGACCAGGTAAATCCTGCCAGCTGTGTTGTGCTTGTGCTGAGGGGTAAATGCTGCCTAGAAAGGAAATGGATGCCTTTCCCTCCATTTGAAGTGTGTGTTGTGTGCGTGCATATGCCAGTGTGTGTGTGTTGTGTGTGTGTGTATGTGTGTTGTGTGTGTCTGTAGGTTTCCTGTCTCTTGACAATTACTGAGCAAATCCCTTCCTTGGGGGCGGGGGTGGACTTTCAACTTGAGTTGCATCTCTGTACTTGACTGGAGAAAGATAGGTGAGTGGCAGAAAGTAGAGCCAAAAGAACTCTAGGATTACATTGTCTTTTAGGCTGAACCAAGATGAGATGCACTTCATGGAGATTCAGGAAATGAAAGTCAGCTGGAAACCAGGGGTTAGCTCCGTGGTAGAGCCCTTGCCTAGCATACGCATCAACAGTAGCAGCTAGATTTGAGTAGAAAGGATTTCCTCCCTCCCCAGGTGGCAGGAACAGAGAAGTTCACAGTCCTGCCTTGCAGGACTCTGGTTGACCATTGACTTTGACCATCTTTTATTTTATTTTTCTAATTAGAATTTTTTATTAGGATACATTCAATGTATGGGGTGTTCATAGTGACAATTCCCAATAGGCTTATACTGTATATTGGTTAGATCACCCCTGACTTTGGCCATCTTAAGGCTGCACAGTTCCCTGTACCTCACCCATGTATCCCTGGGGTGGTTTCACTCCCTTCAAGCAGGTGCTTCTTGTTCTTTACTCAGGTCCCATATGTGTTTTATCAGTAGGTTGAGTAATAAGATTTAAAAATCTGTGGTGCTAAATTGATAAACAAGTATTTATTTGCTCTGCACCTGAATTTAATCTTTTGCTTCTTTTCATTCTATGAAGATTTAACAAAAAAAATCAGCTTATCGCCTGAGCAGCCAGAAAACTGAGGTGGGGAGTGCTCCAGCAGGAAGGCCTCTGCCCAGTCACTCAAGTCCTTCAACTCTTGAAAATCTGCCTCTTGTCAGTGCTCAATAGGGCACATGATACCTGTGAGCCTCATGGGCTGATGGAGAAATCCAGGTGGCAGACAGGGAAGAACTTGCTTTAGACATAGTCATGTGCCACCAAAAGGTGGTCTTGGGCTGTGAAAACATAGATGTTTGACATATCTCTGTCAACAGGTCTCTTCCCAATTGGTGACAATATATTTGCTTGAGGAGGTAGATGTCCACAACTTAGAAATGCTTGTAGCTTTCTTCCCATATCTAATCTCACCAGCAGAGGCCTCTCTTGGACCATAT